GAGGCAGGGAGGGGAGCTGCTTCAGCTAAAGGTGGGAGACTCTCTGAGAAGCTAATGTCTGAGCAGAGATCCGTGAACAAACACTCCTCAACTGTATCCGCTCTTCCACCCTCTGTTTCTCCTCAGCTCATACCCAATGACAGGACCTCCCATGTTGTTTTGTAATAAATATAAGAAAGAGCAGGATCTGAGGCACAAGCAAGTCTGGGTTTAAATCCTAGCTCTGCCCCATTCCAGCTCTGTGATTTTTGGGAAAGTTACCTAACCTGCCTGAGTCACCCCTCTTTCCTTTGTACAAGGGAGAGACTAACAGCACATATATCACAGCGTGGCTGATGGGATTAGTAAGGTAGTGTAGCAGGTGCCAGACACAAACCAGAGGGCCATGCCTTACAGCAGTGTTTCCCAAACTTCTCTCAAGATGAGAATCACCTGGTGGAGTTGTTAAACTACAGATTCCTGAACCCCAACTAAGAAGTGCTAAACTAGAATTTTTGGGAACATATATGTAAAATTGTATACTAAACTTAGAGCACTAGTTAAGTATATAATGATGTGCTTATCATACTACCCGACACATAGCTAGGCTCAACAAACTGTTACACAACTGGACACAGGAACACGTCAGCTATTCCAGCCATGACATCGCTAACCCAGAGGCTGGGAACTCAAATGCCTGAAGCAATCAGACTGTGATGTGAGCAAAACAGGCCGAGCGTGGGCCCCGGAACGGAGCGGCTACACAATCCACCGGTGCGGGCTCCAAGTGGCCACACCTGAGACTAGTTCAAGAGGGATTTAAATATTGGAACTATATTTTTTTAATTTTTTTTAAATTAAAAGCAAGACAGTGCAACATAAATAAAGCATTTCTGAAACTGATTTTGACCAATATTCTGCATGTGATGACACCAATCCCATTTCAGAGGAGGAGAGGAGAGAGACCTGAAGACAACTAAATTTAAATCTCCACAGTACAGCTCATCATTCCCTTAAGCAGGACAAGGACACATGAACAACCTACTCAGGCACCACCCCTTATTATGACAATAAAATATGGTTATGGACAGTGACAGCTGTAACTGCATGCATGTCCACTTTGCATCAGCATCTATTCGTGTAATGTCTTCCTCTCCTTACGACCCAAATAAATATATTCATCCCCATTGAACAGATGAGGAAATTGAGGCCCAGAGTGAATACATGATCTGAGGCCAGGACTGAGACTGGAAGTGTGGTTCCATCCAAATCCTTACGCTTGAAACTACCCAGCTGCCCGGGCAGGAAGTGGCATCATTACTTAAATCAGAACACCTGACTCAGCAGCAGTACTAGCTTTCTTGTGGGCACTAATCTGCATACTGATAACAGGGCTCCGGGCCCATGGACGGCTGTTAAATGGAGCTGGAGCCAGATTTAAAAATCACTGCTCGTGACACATTGTTTTTACATTGAGGAATTTTCATCAGGACCATGTCTGCATCGCTTGATGGAAGAGAACTACATCCTTGGGATAACTTAAGATGCCTGACATCAAAGAGACTTGGAGACCCAGGAATGAGAAGAGAATCAGCACATTTGTGAACACTGGTCTGAAACAGGCAGGTCAAGGGGCCGGATTGTCAATTGAGCGAAACCTCAATTACAGAGCAATCTAATATATATCCCGATACGTTATCACAATGCAATAAGCAGCCCTTCAGAATTAACTAATTCCAATTTGCTTTCATTTCGATCTGTGTGTCGCGCTGAGCATTTGATATCCCCTGCACTCAAATGAGGCGGCGTCTTCTGAAGCACCGATGCTCAATCCCAGGACAGCACGTCAGCTGTGAGCAAGGCAGCCCAAAGCATGGCTGTGTGCGAAGCGACAGAGACGCAGGCTGGGCCTCACGGCTTGGCCCAGGGCAAGAACCCGCTGTGAACGCCATCTGAGTGGCCAGATCCTGCCACCCCCGGCACAATGACTACCCAACCCTGAGTTCTGACTGAATAATGCCAGGGGGGAGTGGGGACCACATGGTCAGAGGCAGAGCTCAGGCAGAAACAGCCGCTTTTCCTTTGTCCCCGATTTCTGGCTTAATGATGGTGGAGATGGGAGCAGGCTAGGGCGTCCGACCGAGTGTGGACTCCATGACCCAAATGCTCCCAAGCACACAGTGGGCCCACCTTATACTTTCTCCCTCCCTCTTACTGCTCAGCACACGAGTGTGTGAGGAGAGAGCTCTGGGCCCACTCTGCAGAGGCAGCCCTAAATGACTGCATCAAGGCCACGTGGATGGCAATCAGCACCTGCATCAGGTGGCCAGCTTCTGCCTTCCCCCCAACTGCATGTAAAAAGGAAGAAAATATACGCAGGTGGCAATGAGTACTAACAAAGTGATATTCCCAGAGGATTCCATCAAGGTGCAATCAAAAGGGACTCGGCTACAGGGAGCGCCTACCTGTCATGACCATCGGAAGCAGACTGGAAAGGAGGCCACCCAGCACCTTAAAACAGAGCAGAGAGGGACGCAGGGGAGGGGTTCAGAGCGGCAGTGGCTGCTAGATCTGGTTCACAGGCGTGGCCAGCACAGGGCTCCCTGCACGCTGAGCTCCGGCCCGGCGGCACAGCCAGCTGAGGATCGGTCACTGTCCCCTCCACCCCGGCCACCCCTCCAAATCAAGGCAATGGTGGTTCACCATGGGACTCCCGTCCTGTCCCAAAGCTCTCTGCACTCTGCACTTGGCCTAACAGACCTCCTCCCCCACAACCGGGCTCCATCCGCAGGATGTGAAAGTGCAGAGCGCTGCACCAGCTCGCTGTCCTTCCCTCCCTCTCAGGACCAGCACTGCCCGATGCATGAAAAGTGCAGATGGAGAGTGTGAGACAGCACAGTGCGCCGTCCCGCGGGCTTCCATTCCAGCGTGGAGACCACCGCACAAAAGGCATAATGAGCTCCAGAGGGGTCAGGTGGGGAATTACATATTCACTGAGCGCCTGAAAGGCCTGCAAAGGCCACTTGTCACACAAATCAATCTATTGGCACCAGAAAAGCCAAAGATAGGAGCCTAATGCAATCAAAACGATGGTTTCTTTTCTATGGCAATGGCACTCGATAGAAACGATTTTAAAGATTTTTTTTTTCTCCTCTCCGTTGTTTTGTTCATTACTGCCTAATTTGTTGATCTTCGGCCTAAGTGTGCACGGCATTACGGCGATGAAATGAATTTCTGCTGAGGCCAATAATCCATTCACTCATCCATCATTCAACATGTTTTGAGGGCGAGCCTGAGGAAAGGAAGGATTGTGCAGGTCCACACAGGCAAACACTCGATTTCACATGGATGTGGTGCTGTGCTCACCCTGGGGCCAGGCTCTCCTCTCCACTAAGCTCCGGGAACTCACTGTGAACCACGAACCCCCGTTCCCAGAGCTTACACCCTGAAGGATGAGACAGGAAATTACCAGGAAACAAAGGAAAATCATCACAATTTTTAAGTGTGATGTGGCTATGTAGAAAAAAAGACAGGGCGATGTAAGAATGCAATCACCAGAATGGGGGGCCAGGGCAGTGGGGAGTCAGCCACAGGAATGAATACACACAGAGTCAGGACAGCCCGGGAGAGAGAATCCCAGGCTGCAAGCCCCAGTCTGGCCCAGGCCAGGCCCCAGTGCCAGGGGGCCAGCAAACAGAGGGCAAGGGTTTCACACCAGCCAAGGAAGCGCACCCAGGAGCCTCCTGGGGCTGAGGGGGTGGCCATGTTTTTACCTTCACACACACCAGGTTCCGTTCTACAGCAAACATGAGGAGAGCAGCTTCATTATTTCAACCACTAAATTATGCCATATTAAAATTTTAATCGGTGAACATAACGCCGGGAAATGAGTGCATTCATATGCTGCTGTTGCCAGTGTAACCTGTCAAACCGTTTTTTGCAGAAGCAATATTGCAAAACAAAGAAAATCCATAGCAATGCTCATATTCTTTGGCCCACCAAGTCTACCACCAGGGAATTTATCCAAGGGAATAATCCTCTTCAACAGAATAAAAATGTTCTCATCTGAGGAGCACTGTTGAGGAGTTAATTGTTGCACGCACAGAGCCAAGATGCAAAACCAAAAACACCTGGAATTACCTAAAGGCGTACAAACAGATTTGAAAATACTAGGTCCGTGGTCAGCAAACTGCGGCTCTCGAGCCACATGCGGCTCTTGGGCCCCTTGAGTGTGGCTCTACCACAAAATGCCACGGCCTGGGTGAGTCTATGTTGAAGAAGTTTAAGTTTAAAAAATGTGGCTCTCAAGAGAAAGTTCAATCGTGGTACTGTTGAGGCTCTGCTGACTCATGTGTTTGCCGACCACTGTCCTAGGTGATTCACTGGGTGAAATAGTGCACAGCCATTAATTGTTATGACAAAGATCACACAGCCTTCCAAGAACAAGCGGGATACCCAGCTCCTTGAAAGGCAGGAAAGGAAGCAATGTGCATACTCCAATGGAAGTTATCAGTGCTACTTCCAGATGAACAAGAAAACTGAAAAGAATTAAATCAAGGCCAGCAGGACGAGGGATTACTTATTTCAAAAGTCCTCCCGGATACTGTCACTATATCATGTTTTCAATATTAAAAAAATAAAAATCCCCCGGAAATGATTGCATTCTCTGGACGCATCAACAAAACGCCACCCAAACACAAGGATGTGGATTCTCCTAACTGGAAGGATAACATGAAGCCGAATTCCGAGATGTCTTCTACGTTCTATATGCCCCAGCCCTGAACATACAGATCCTACATGTAAGACCCATCTCTGAATCACAGTGCAGTATGGCATGGCTTTACACAGTCTCTCTTTTTTTCGGGGGGTGGGGTGCGGGGGATCGGAAGTTGTGTCTATTGCTCCTGAAAAAGGAGGAGAAGCAGCAGGTGCACAAAGGCCCCTGACTCCCTCCTTTGCAGGGGTTTTAGCCAGGAAACCCTCCTGCACGCCCAGGCGGGGAGGCAGGCCGCGGGACTCACCTTTGACGATGAGCTCGGCGTAGTTGGACACGCCGGAGCCGCCGTCCGAGCGGATCACGCAGCGGTACTTGCTCACGCTGCGCTGGGCCGTGTCCGCCACGCTGACCGTGGCCGAGAAGCGCCGGTGGTTGACCACGCGGGTGACCATGAGGGCCGTGTCCCTGCCGTTCCATTGCTGCGGGACAGAGGGAGGGAGAGGAGAAGGCACATCAGCAGGTGCTCCCAGGGCACCTGGAGCCCGGAGGCCCCGCCCAGCCCACGCCCTGGCAGGCGGTGGGGAGGGGGCGGGCGTGGCTTTCCACAATGAGGAGTCTCCATGGCTGGCTGGTTCAGGAGTCCACACTGTTTACTGCTGGGCTGATTCAAGGGGACAGATGCCAGAGGGCCCAGGCGCCTTGCTCAGCTTGCACTTGGCGTTGGCACCTAGCCCCTTCACCCTCCTCTCTTCTTCCTCCACCTCTTCAGCAGGATCCACACAGTTCCTCCAAAGACAGACACCGATTCATAAACACCCAACCTGTGAAGGGATCCAAAACAGCCTGGCCCCCAGTCCCCCCCTGGAGTCCTGGCGTCCTGGTGCCCGAACACGGGCTCTGAGTCCCGCCCACCAGGACTAGCCTGTGCCCGGGGTGGAGGATGGGTGGGGGTTTTTCAGCACCTCCCCTCCGTGGCACAGGCTCTGTCCTCTGCCTGGGATCCGTGTCCCTAGGGATACCCCCTCTCCCTGAACACCCGGTCCGGCTCATCGCGGTCTCGGGTAAGTTCCCCGGATGTCACACTGCCTCCTGGGAGCCGGTCACTCTGTGCGGCACAGACTCCCCACCGTGTCCTGGAAACCTTTCGACAAGACAGAGTCAAGGTGACTGCACATGCGTGTTTTGTCTTGAGCCTCCTGAATCTTAGGGGTGACATTCTGAGTCTGAGTGAGATCCTTTTAAAGCAGCAGGCTATACAAGCTGGTAAGACACAGGCAGGAGGATGCAGTGTGAGTATCTATCCTGGATCTCCTTTTTAATCCTCACAGGCTTGCTCGAGTGTCTGTTATTGCTGCTCTTAGAACTCACATGGTGGGGTTAACCCAATATGTAAAGCAAATGAGTCCCTCACCCAGGGTTCCCAACTTCCGGCACAGTGTTTTTTGCACCGTGGCCTCCTCCTCACAGCCTGCCTTCATGTAAATATTTCCCCCAAAGCCAAACTGTTTGTTTTAACTGTCCGGTTGGAGTTAGGAAAGCCTTGTGATGGATCAGTGTCCCCCTGTCCCCACGTCTTTATCATTTTCTGCACAGAGAAGACAGGTCCACCACATGGATGGCCCACTCCCATCCGTGTCATCTTCCCTCTCCCCACAGGGAGGTGTCAGGACTGGGATCCAGAGAGGGGAGAACCACCTGCAATGGGTGGGACCAGGGGATGGAGGTGGGACCCCCAGGGAGGGCAGTGAGCTGGATGCCACGAACTTGCTCCAGACGAGACAGGTTGATTGCAGGTGACCATGACTTACTTCTTTGGCATTCTCAGGGCTTTGTGCCTCAAACGTGTATTGTTTTTATACTTGAAAAGAATAAAAGAACTGGTGTTTGTGAACAGCCATGGCAGTATCTGAGGTAGTCATAAGCCCCTCCCACACTAGAAACTGAGCAACAAGATGATTAACCTGTTAACCGAGCGGGACCTATAAATTCGTCAAACATAAACACTATCGGGAACGGGTAGGACATATGAATACGTCCTTGAAATATATGTTGTGCACTGAGAGGGACGGTATATATTTTTTGTAATTTTTATAATTTTTTGTAAATTTTATAATTTTTTAATTCGATGTTTCCATTTTTTTGTTGGTATTCTTTTCTGTTATTTTGTATTTTCCTTTGTGCTTTATATATAAATTAAAAAATATATACTTCATTTATTTTAATTAAGTATAAATAAAAAATAATAATAATATGAAATTACGTCCTCCGGGCGTGACGTAATGACACATCCTAGTGAAAGAGTATGCGCCTGTTACAGGTTGCATAATTAAAAAGGGAACTCCTGGTTAACAAGTTAAGAAACAATAACAGGAGGAAATGGAAGGGCAAGGAAGCTCCTGGGGGCTGCACCTGCCCACCATCCTCCTCGGGGCACAAGCAGAATCAGACAATGGAGAACTGCCCTGGCTCCCACCACAGCTCCCGTCCCAAAAACAGCGCCCAGGAAGTGGAGGAAGCTTGGGAAAACCGAAGGGATGTGCCCAGATTTGAGGAAGAGTCTGCCACACGCACGGAGGGCTGGGAAGAGATGGAGTTGCCTAAAAGCCCGTCTTTCCCGTCGCCCGTCGCAAGGCCCTGCCGGGTCACCTTTGGGGATACAGAGGAGGGAGTGATGGGTGGGGCTCCTCTGACCTGATTCACTCTAACAGCCTGGACACCGTTTTCTTTCCTGTGGGAGCTCATGGGGACTCTGCACTATCACGGGCTGTGTGCCATGCCTTCTCATCAATGCCTCCCGAAGCCCCTGGGTGGGCGCTCACTGTGTCCTCGAGGAATCATCCAACACGCAATCCAATGTTCAACTTGTGTCCTCGAGGAAGCGGAGCTCAGAGAAGTGAGCTGTTTGCACAGCTGGGAAGTGGCCCCGCTGGGGGCTGAATGCAGGGCCTGGGCTTCAGAGCCCTGTCCTGAAACACCACCTGTGTGGCTCTGATGTGGGGTCACTACTCCCCCATCACTCACCCCCAGACCCCTCATTCCCAAATGTGGGAGAGTGTGAGCAACAGGGGTGTGGATGTAACCAGGTTCCGCCGATTTTGCTATCAATTCCTTAGCAGAGGGCCAAAAAAATAAAAAATAAATAAATAATAAAATAATCGGCCAATGACACGGGTGGAGGGAGGGATGCTGTGTAGGAGGTGGAAGGCAAATAAGCAAACATGTCCCAACCAGACAGCTGGGAGACACCCGAAGTTTCCTCAGGCTTTTCCGACCCGGCTTTGAACAGCTCAGAAAGTCAGAGGATAAAAAAGGGGAGAACAAGAGTGATATTGACACACGGGCTCTGAGAAACATGAGCTCCGAGGAGGTGAGTGGCAAAGGAAATGTATCAAAAAAAAAAAAAAAAGAAGAAGAAGAAGAAGAAGAAAAGAAACCTTGAGAAGCTCAGGGGAGAATTACAGGAAACAAACAATGTCAACCGCAGAGTTCCAAGGGCAGTGGAAGTGGGTGGCCCGCAGGAACACCACCACAGAGAAACAGTGGCCTGGGGCCAGATTGAAAAACAGAATCTGCAAGCCGAGAGACACACTGATGAAGAAAGCAGAGACCAGACAGCTAGCCTGTCCTGGGGAAGGGAGCCCAGTGAAAGGAGCACAAACCACATCCCAAGAGATATTGGTCACTTTCCGGTACTAAAATAAGACCTACGTCTTTAGCCTCAAATGGCCACCCACTTGATAAAATTAATGAAAACTATAACTGAGGTACATGTGCATAAGAATATGGACTAGTGAGGATAAGTATATAAAACCCCAGATTAAAAAAAAAAAAGTGTGCCAAAATAAATACATACACCAATCTGGTATAAAACTCCTTGCCTGGGCTGAAACCGGTTTGACTCAGTGGATAGAGCATCGACCTGCGAACTGAAAGGTCCCGGGTTCGATTCTGGTCAAGGGCATGTACCTTGGTTTCGGGCACATTCCCCAAGTAGTGGATGTGCAAGAGGCAGCTGATAGAAGATTCTCTCTCATCGATGTTTCTAACTCTCTACCCCTTTCTCTTCCTATCTGTAAAAAAAAAAAAAAAAAAATCAATAAAATATATATTTTTAAAAACTCCTTGCCTGCAATTGTTTCCAAACCTAAGGCCTGGTCGTGAGGTCCCGCGGGGATCACAAGGCGTCTCGGGAGAGGGCAGTTATTTAGACAGTGTAAGAGGACAGGGGTGGAACTAGGGAAAGACAGGACGGGATCATCCAACACGCAATCCAATGTTCAACCTGTGCAAACGTGGGCAGGCAATGTATTTCACCGAGCTTCAGTTTCCTCATATACTCAGCGGGTTTGGTCCCGGTGTCTACCTGACAGAGTAATGATGATGAATAAAGAATAAGTGAGAGCACCTGAGGCATCTTCTGGCATTAGTGGAGCTCTCCAGATGAACGTTAGTCACGCAAAGTGGGGTTGTCAGGAAAATGCCCCCCTCTCCCTCCCAGAGGTGTCCCTATCCAACCTGTGACTGTGTCACCCCCATGGCGGAAGGGACTGGGATTGAAGACCTTGAGGTTCTTCAGGAGGGCCCAGCACTGTCACCGGGGACCTTGTGTGTGAGACACGGAGTCAGAGGGGACAGAGACAGAAAAGAAGACATGGTGACAGAAACAGATGGAGAGACAGGATTGATGGCTTTCAGGCAGAGGAAGGGGCCAGGAGCCAAGGGACTCGGGCAGCTTGCAGAAGCTAGGGAAGGAACACAGCCCAGCCAGCACCTTGCCTTTAGCCCAGTAAAGCCCAGCTGTCCTCCATAACTGTAAGTTAGTACATTTGTGATGCTTTTAAGCCACTAAGTTTGTTACATCAGCAATAAGAAGCTAATGCAGCCGGAACCGGTGTGGCTCAGTGGATAGAGCATCAGCCTGTGGACTGAAAAGTCCCAGGTTTGATTCCGGTCAAGGGCATGTACCTTGGTTATGGGCACATCCCCAGTGGGGGGTTTGCAGGAGGCAGCTGATCGATGTTTCTCTCTCATCGATGTTTCTAACTCTCTCCCCTTCTCCCCTCCTCTTTATGAAAAATCAATAAAGTATATTTTAAAAAAAAACACACACACACACACGAAAAAACTAATGCTAAGAGCAAAGGGCTGGTTAAGTACAAAACATTCATTTTTCACATGTAGTTTAAGTTGTATTTTGATGTCTCCTCTGGTATTATTTACTTTTCTTCTTAATGATGTCACACCCAGCCGGATCAGAGAGGATTAAACACGTCCCCCTGGGCGATTCACATGTTTCTGTCTGGCTCCTGAACCACTGGCCTTTCTCCCGCGGAAGGTTAGGAAATTGCAGGTTGTCTTATAAAACCTCTAGAAAGCAGGCCTTTTGGTAATCACACTTGTCACATTGGGAGCGGGCAGCAGCAGGACAGGGCCCAGCAGGAGGGCCCAGAGCCACGACAGGAAGCAGCGCTGCGATGGA